TGAACAACATGTCTAGAGACATGTCCTGGAAATAAAGCTCACCTTGCATTAGGAAATTAATGAAAACACTGAAAATAGGAAATGTAGGTTCACTGCAAGGGGTGACTCTTGATGCTCCTTTTACTTATTTCACACCTTGAAAGGTTGGTCTTTGAAAACTCTGTGTTATATAACATTATCTGTGGTGCAGCAAAGCATTTGCCCCTTTGACTTCAAGTGGAGGGGTGGTGTGTAGCATGTAATTTACTGGTCCGATTCCCACTGGTAACTGATGGTTTTTTAGTGAACAATTTGCATGTTCTCCCTCTGTGTGTATGGGTTTTCTTCAGGTACAATTTAAAACGACTACAGGTATCAGTGTGAGCACTTATGGTTGTCTGGCCCTGTGATGCACTAATGAACTGTTCTTCTCTCGACGACTACTTGACCAACTCCAGCCCCACCCAGTGGCACTGAAAAGGAAAAAGTGGTAGAAGCTGTTTACCTGGTTGTACTCTAATATCTGTGTACTGTAGTAGGTACTGTTTAAGCCTCAGTGCGTCATGGTGTCCATCTTTACAGTATCCCAGGTGTCATCCAACCTTTTATTCTCTGACAAGTGATACATCATTATCTTTGCACCTGTTCAACACCGCCACGGTGTCAGTTCTATACAGCTTATATAAGATGTTGTTAATATTTAATATTTAGAAAATCGTGTTTTCTGTTTTTTTTTTCTCCATCTTTTCTCTTCAAGCTATGTTTGAGATAGCTACCGACCCTATGCATTATGCATGTTGTATATTGTTTCCTGAAAGACACTGGATGGAGTTTGAAGGCAGATGCAGTTAGCGCCTCCACCCTGCTACCATCACTTCCTCCCTACAAACCTAACCTCACCCTGCCCCTGCTCTGTCTGCTGAATTATTGAAATGAAGACATGAAAGATAATTTGCTAACTGTCTGTGCTTTAGCTGGCTAAACTCAGCTGAGAGGACCTTGTCTCTGGAGGCGAGAGAGAGAAAGGGAAGACAGGATGGGGCAGCCTGGGGCTAAATGTCAGGTGTGTTTCCTGGGAAGGAGGTGAAAAGAGAGATCTGCTTGATATGTGGACATTGAGCAGAGCATTAGTTAGGGCACATGAGGTTAGGGCCAGCATGGAGCTGTATCAGATTTTTGACCCTTTTCTGGCAGAGCTGTGTTTCCACAGTCATAAAAGAGCTACCGCTCAGAGCTAAAACCTTAGTGCATATTGTTTGAAAAAAATATCTGTTCATACAAAAATAGTCATCAGTATACACAGTGGTTCTGGCAGATTTGAAGTCATGTGACTTTCTCAGTATTTCAGAAATTCAAGGAATTATTTTGTCAAATATTGGTCAGAAAAAGCTGGGTTTATAAGACCTTCCATAGTCCATTGTTTTTACCTGGTAAAAGGTTATACCAGGTCAGACTTGTTAGAAATGCAAACCTAAGTGTCTTATGTAACTGACCTTGCTGAAGTCAAATGTTTCACCTCTGACTGACGTCTTGAGGAAGAATGTGATGTATTTGCTTCATCCTACATGCGTCTTGAATCTGTGGACGAGGACAGAGAGCGTGAGCAGCTTCAGAGGAAATGTGAGAGGTTTGGTGGACGGTGTGTGGTTGCGGTTTGTCTTGTTGCGTCTCATCTTTTATTCCTGAGTGACATGTGTAACTACAGGGTTGTTCAAGAAGGGATTCAGGTCGAGTGTGTCCACAGAGGGAAGTGTTTAGGCCTTGACCTTCAGTTTAACAGCTCTCCATGTGCACTACATTCACGCCTCCATATCTTCTTTATCTACCTGGACTTCCTTGGCATCTGTTTCTCCTCCTCCTCCATCGACCTCCTCTCACTGCTTATGACAGAGTATCAAAAGGTGTCCCCTGAAGCCTGCATTGCATGAGTGTTTTTAAATAATGCATTGCAGATGGGGCAGGTGACCATCGCTGGGGCATATAGGCCCTCAGATCACAGCAGGCTCTGCCATGAAAATTTCATTGCTGCGGTGCTCCTGGGAATCTCTGTTCGATACTGTAGAGGTTGAGCTGGATATATAGGAGCTGACGTACCCACAGGGTATTTCACACTGTTTTCTAAATTCTTTTTTGTTTGCCTCTCTTCTTAGAAAAACCTTGCTAACTTAAATGCTCTCCAACGGTTCAGAGCAGTGGTGCACAAACCTGGCTAAAAACAGTATTTCCAAATGAAAGGAAGGTCAGAAAATGTGGTCAGAGGCAGACCGCACGTAAAGAAAAGTGTTACAAGAGTTTGATTTACTCTCTGAAATACAGCTGCCAAAAAGAGAAGAGAAAAGACAGGACCAGTGGACCCTACAATTATTACCATGTGCTCTCAGCTTTTAAGGTTTATGAGCTCCAGTGAAATATACGTGGATGTCTTTTGTCCTAGATCTGGCCCCTCAGGCAGGAGACTGCTCTAACTTATGTCCAGAGTTTAAGTCCTGAGAAAGCCGTGCAGCCTTGACTTTGATGTTTGAAAAAACAGCATTCGACAAATGCAGGGTTTGTCGAAGGTGATAAACGTTATCTTATCTTCATTTTACAAATATGAGTATTGGAATTAGGGGTTTAACAGCGCAGTAAGGCTACAGTGTGGTACATACCTTAGTATTGACATCACGGTTCACTTCAAAAAAAGTAATGGACAGTCACAAAGATGTTTACTGAAAACATGACAAAATTCCAAGCACTGTATATGTAAAGATGTGGTCTTTAACCGCTAATTGATGCAAATCTTCTGGACGCAACTAAGTGACTTCAGTGAGCAGGGATAAAGCATGGATTTTGTTGTGAATGTTATGAGTACATGCATGTCTGTACATTAGTTGTTTAGATTTTGATCAGTTGGGAACATCAAGTTGACTGTCTTGTAGTTTGTGGCAAATTATTTAATAAAACTGAACTTGTTATAGCAGTCTTGATTTCACATTGTAGATTAGTGTTAGAGAAGGATGTACAAATATGGACTGATGTGTTTCAATAATATATTCTGGTTCTGGAGCCATGCTACTCATGGTGATCAGTTGATTGTCTGTGGAGCACTCCTGTTTTATTTTTTCTGGTGTGAAAACACACTCCTGTTACCTCCTCGGAGCAGGTCATGTTTCCACCTGTGTTGGCTGGTTTATTTGAAAGCCGGATTACGCAAAGTCTCCTGAATAGATTTCTATTGGACTTGGGAGAGTGACACTGCCTGGGGCTGACAATATACCAATAAACTTTGACACAAATGAGTGTGATCCAGGAAACATAATTTTTCTTACTAAAACAACAGCTTATCCAGTTTGATTAATGGGGTTAATTGCAAATCTTCTTTACAAAATCAAGTTTTTGTAATAGGCTTTCATTCATTATTCTATACAAAAAATGTTTACCCTTGACACTTAAGTATTGGATGATTAGACAAGTGTACATGAATGTGCTCTAATGAATAACATCCACTCAATGTCTTAGACTTTATGAACCCAACGCAGTTTCAAATGATAAAATAATTGTGAAATGACGAAACTGTTTAAGATTCACTTGTTAAATGACTGAAACCAGCTCTCAGTTCTTGTCTTAAACCTGACAGACTTGTTTTCAAACTGAACATTAGTTATTTTAACAAGTGTAAATAAGAGTAAATTTACATCCAGAAGGAACAGAAAATTGTATTTAATTCTCAAGAATAACAGCAGTGTCTGTTTTTTTTGTTTCAAACACCAGAATTTTTTTTTTCATGTCAATAATGTATACAACAGGTCTGATCTCATGTCTTATTAGTCTTGTTGCCATGACAACCACACTTCAACCCTTTCTAAAAAACAACAAGTTGGACTCATTGGAAGTTGTGGTTACACTGTGGACGCTTGACAAATGTATTTTCATGTGTCTTCAAATATAAAAAAAATGGAGGGCACATCCACTGTCGGTCTATGATCTTCTACCCCCTGGATGTGCCCCCCAACCAAAAATTGAACAATGGCACCAGATGCAGATCACATAACTGTCCTGGAAGTAAAGGGTTAAGAGTCACTCTTAGTCCTTAATCAGCACAGAAAGCCTCTCATCTTATTATTTTAGTTTTCTTCCTTGTTTTTCCTTGTTTGGAACGTTCTCATTTTATTTCTTTTTTTTATTCAACCCTTGTGCAAAGATGGAAAAAATGTTATACTGCAGAAAACAGTATTATGGAACAGAGTAAAACGTGATCAGAGAAAGTCCTTATCACTGATTTTATTAAAGAATTAAAATAAGGAAGAAGTAAATTTCCAATGATGTGTCAATTAATCGTTCTAATTGGTTACAGTAGAGAACAATACATTTGCCTTAAATTATGATTTAGTCTCAGAGTCTCTATTCATTAGAGTTTCTCTCTGAGCTTTGCATAGGCAACAACATAACAAACAAACTATTCTTGATTAAGCATGTGACTGTTTGCAGTTTTTATAAAACATATGATCTCTAAAAATATTATGGGCTGATGACGTGTTTACATTTCTTTTGAAGCCATGTTACACTTTTTATTTGGTTATTTTCTTTCCACTGTTGACATAGAAGTAAGTTTCTCCATGAGGTATGATGAGAAGCTCACACACTGTACAGTGTGTAATTATCTGTGAGGCTAAGTTCAGCCACATCTGAGAACTCTCTTCTTTCCTGATTCTCCACAGGTTTATCGGTTTGCGCTGTTTTTGTTTTCAGACTGTGTGCCTCAACAGCAGACTTCCCAAAACCACAGGGATGTGGCCGAGTGCCACAGAGGCTCTTTAGCTCAAAGCTGCAGCGCTTTACATCACGCATTTACAACCTGTCTGCAATGTATACCACCGTCACTCTGTCAATCTTGTTTATCCAAGTCACATCTCAGACAGAGGTGATTTTCTACCTATTGTTGATGCTCTGAAATAAGATGAAAGACTGAGATTAAAAGGACATGTGATTTTGAATATAATCTTCTGTGACACTGATTGGACTTCTCTCTTTGTCTCTTCCAGGTTAGCTTTATATGTGTACGAATATTTGTTGCATGTCGGCGCACAGAAATCCGCACAGACCTTCCTGTCAGAGGTAAGAAATTGTTTGAGGTGAACTCCTCCCTATTCTATTGTATGAACAGGACTGGAATTCAGATTACAGATTGTTCTGAGTTCAAGCAGCTCTTGACTGATGCGTTAATGTGTTTGTTTTACACAGGCTGAACAACACCAGTGTTCCCTTCATTGTTTACTAATTTGGGTCACTGTAAATATGGCATCATTTGGGCTACTTAATGTGATTACTCACCCTTCATTATTAGCACTAATTTGTAATCATAAACTGTTTATAATTAGCAATTTGACACACTGTGAGCATGTGCTGTTGCTCACTTTCTGCTATGGCATTTAGAAAACGCAATAAGTCCCTGGTTAGTTAAATTGGGTGTGAGTTTAATTCTTGACTTTGTTGGCACATTTCCACTCGTCACAGGTTTATTAGGCTCGTATTTAGAACCTAATGTGTCAAAGACATACAGTATAGACTCTAATGTGTTTCGAACACGTTCTAAATGCACACCCTCTCTGCTAATGTACGAGTGCGGCAGCCTTTCACCGATCCTGCTCATCAGTTCGATTCAGCTGCATTTCATACAACACTTCCCACTACACTGAGAGAAGGCTTTAATATCAAGTAGGAGCAAGACTTCATCGTTCAGCTGTCATTCATTCAACCATGACGACAAACGGCACCTGAGGGGTTGAAACAATCGGAATTTGTTCTCATAGCGCTTTAAATCGACATGTAATTAGCATTACAAACCTATGAGGCACTCCATACGCTGTAGGTGTGATTCACCCCCACACAACAGAATACAGAATATTAGTTATAAATGACTAACAATTATAGTCAAATCGTTTACATCAACAACAACAAGATTGTTCATAACCTCACATGTAATGATTGTTATTAACCTCACCCTCACATTCCTGTTCATTGTTCCATTTTTATACATTTATCAAGTGCCTCGCTTTTTTTCACAGCATTTTATAACACTCTTCATAACTCACTATGAGGAATCAAGGTGTATTCTCTAACTCTAAACCCATGCTTTAGGACAGACTTGTCAGTTTGAGGTAAAAAAAAAAACTCACCTGCAGATACAAATATCTCCATGTGGTGTGTATATTACACTTTTATATGCGAGTTTGTCTGGAAATGTTTGATGGAAATAAATAGTAATGATATAAATGAACGCCTGTGTTCAGCATACACACACACACACACACACACACACACACGTTTGAGTTTCCATAGAAAATGTAGTTCTAACGTCAGAGGTAGACACCTGGTCAGCTCCATCTAATCAGAACACTCTCACCTGTACTCTCCAGCCTCAGCTAGCTTCTGTTCATCCATCAGTAAGAAGCCCACAAACACAAGTACTCAGACACACACACACACACACACTGTATTACAGTACTGTATGTGAACTGTATGCGTCTGTTCCCCAAGAGAACTGACACATTATGCTCTCCGGCTCTCAGCTGTTTAGCAGCATTGAACCCACGGACCCACACCTACGTGTACTGTAGCAGACACACGACCACAGGAGAAATCAATGGAAAAGATACAGAACATGAATAGAAACCTGGCGATGGGACCCCCGTATATTTTGCCCTTGTTTATATTTTTAGACCTGAGAATTTGTTTTGCTGCTCTCGTGCAGTTCTCAGCAGACTGAGGTGAATCATCTCAGACAGACTGCATTCAATCTTTGTGTGCTGTGTGCCGAGTCACGCCAGCTGTGTTCAAGCAGGAACCAGGACTGCTATCTCTCACAGGATCTTATCTCAGTGTCCAGATACAGGCAGGAGCTGTGCTGGGTTTGAGGGCAGTGGATAGGGCTGCTGCTTCTTATCCTAAACTTTACACTGCACTGCACTGCACTGCACTACCAGTCAGCCTATTCTTCTGTCTGACTACTGCCCTGTTTCTTCAGAGTAGGGAGCACAGTGGAGCAAAATCATTACTTTATGCATAAACCATGCTGCAATATCTAATCCCTTCTGTGTTTTCTGACCAATCCCTTTTTCTCCATCTCATTTCTTTCTCTTAGATCCGATGGGAGAAAAACATTACACTTGGGGAACCTCCAGGATTTTTACACTCGTGGTGGTGGTATGTATACATTTATCTCATCACTTTACTACATTATGAGTACACACACTCGAATGAAGGCTCGCATTTTTCGACAGTTCACATTCATACCTCAGGAGTACTCTTGATGGTCTGCAGGAATGTGAAGGGGTGGAGATGCTCTGTAATTTACAGGAATGCTAAGTGCATCTTCTCACATGTGTTAGTGTTGTACTCCCGGTGACCCTGTGAGTGACAAGTCAGCTAACTTCCTCTGCTGCTCAAAGTCAAGTCAGTACGAGGAGGATTGCTGTCATAATGAAATTAGAAGGTACTGTATATCCAGAGATCATTAAGACTTTCTAACACTGCTCAACAGATAATCTGGACTCCTGTCAGCATCACCAATATCTATCCTCAATATCATCAATCAAAAAGCAACGTTGCTTCTTTTTGCCAAAAAGAACAAATCAAAGAAGAAATAGAAAAGATAAGATTATTAGAAATTACATTAAGCAAATGTGTTTTTATTAAGCCCTTCTTAATAAGACGACAAACTGTAAACGTCTACCTGCAGATTTTTATGTCTGGATCAATGATGTTTGACTACTGACTATTGTATTTTTTGAAGCAGGCAACTTACTTTATTTGTATCCATTCAGTCATTTCACCTGATAAAACATTTTAACCTGCAGCTGTGGTTCTAACCACCTTTCTGCCGTGTTGTGACATAACTGGTGGAGTGGAATTCCTTTTTCTGGACAGTCAACAGTCAAAGTTAGATACTCAGGTACTCCTTAAAAGCATAATTACAAAAATGTAGTTCAACCAAGTTCTGTGACAACCCCTGGGACTCTACCTCCGGATGTCCCTGTTAATCAGGCTTAGTAAAGAAAGCTGGCAGCTGGGCGGGATGTAAATGAAGGCTGGCTGCTGTATTCTCAGCGAAGAAAAGCAGGAGTAAAAAAAAAGGAGAGCCGGGATAAGAGGTTTAACAGGGTCCACTTTGTTTTTCATTCATGTTATACCACTCATCAGCAAAGACCCCTGGCTGGCCCTGTGTAATGAACCTGGACATACAGCTTCATTCATTTATCCACTGTGGCTCAACATGTGTTATTATTGTGCAGCATGTTGACACAGTTCATAATGTGCCTTAAAGACTCCAGTTTCTTTTAATATGACAGTTCTCAGTTGGATGACTCCCAGTAATACTGACAGAATGACATAGACAAACATACCGTGCTGCTTGGAGAGTACACTGGCCTCTGACCAAACCTCAGTGGTTGATTGTGTGTGGAGGGGTGGAAGGAAAAGTGAAACTATGTTGTTTTCCGACTGTTGTGATATACCGTACTTCACCAGTGTGTGGTTGTCTGTATTTGTGTGTGTCAGAGAGCAGTTGAAGAGCTGGCTGATGATCAGCCAAACTGTTCAGGACAAAGCTCCAGTTCTGCAGTGACCTCACTGAGGGGCATCTGTCTAGGCCACGCAGCACGTGGAGAGAAAATAAATCTCTGGGGTGGGGTTTATTTAGTAGAGTCCTGGAGCCCTGTGTCCATCTCTCATACACACCCCTGTCTCCCCCCTACCCAATCCCAGACCCTAGCTTCTCCCAAAACAAAAGCTCCAGATGGTAAGAAAACCACCAAGCTCTCTCGTGCCTCACCCTTCAGTCCCCCTCCCTCCACCTTTGTCTGGAGGCTTGTCCCTTTGTTTGTGTTAGAGAGACCCACGAATGGATTAACTCTTTGCATTCCTGGCTCCTTTTGTGTTAAACAGCCAAATCCAAGACCCTGACCCCACCACCGACCAAGCCTCAACATAGCTGTCCCCTCCTCAGCACCATCCCTCCTGTCTGTGCCTCTGTCGCCGTTTCCTGTAGGAGAGCATTGTTGGGGGCAGGGGGCCTTCAGAAAGGGGCAGGGGGCTGCCGGGGATGGTCACTCAAACACATCTGTTGTTATGGGTGGAAGGATAAAGAAAGAGCTCAGTGAGGACTGCAGGTGTTGATTGTGTCATTAGCTGCTTCTCTATTGGTTGCTGCTTGTTGTCTCCTCCTTATCCCCAAATCAATTCCTTTAACCAGTTTTCACTGGATGGCCAGTGAACCCTCGGCCACTCTCCCGCCTCCATGCCAATCATGGAAAACATTAACGCGCTTATGAAAACCTTAGAACAACAGCAGCATGTAGCAGGATTCTCCTTGTGATTGCCTCTGGCTGAGATTCTTGTTCGTGAGGAGCAGAGGAAACAGTGAGAGCACAGCCACTCTCAAATGTCCAGACTGTTCTGTACAAACAGTATTAGACTTTTCTCCTCATCTTTTTTTGCCCCTTTTCCTCCGCTTGTCAGATTTTCCTTTCTTCTTTACTTGTCGTATTATCCAGATTTCAAAATGTAAACATCTGAGATGGGGAAAAAACCTTAACAGCAGTCTCCTAATTGTCTGCGACATTTGGTCATGATATTTCCATGAGAATGTTGTTCCATCATTGCATCAACATTTACCCACTTACAGGATTGTTACTTCCATGATTGGCACAGTACACAAGCTTCTGTGTTTCAGAATACATTTTTGGAAAGCTAATGGGCATTAGCATAGAGCAGTGGTTCTTAGAACCACTGCAAACACACACCAACTCATATGATTCGTGATGACACCCCCCCCCCGCCTCCGCCTGGACATCACCGAAGGGTTCGGTGAATGTGCATATAAAACTGGTGGGGTTCAGTTCCTCCAACAAGGTTAAGAACCAGTGGCATAGAGGTACAGAAACCAAAAGTGAGAAACATCCAAAAGACGAGGATAATTTGATCGTAGAATGACACTGACTTAAAACTCAGTAAGATTATTATTACAGTTTTTGTGTCACCTTTCTAATCCTCAAGCGCCCTTTAACACTGTCTGTTTAATGTAGGACTCTCATACCTTGCCATTTTGTGTAAACTGCCCATTTGGGATAGAGGTACAAACTCTCTGCTTCTGTGTGGGCCTAAGCAGTAGTAACACACCCAGAAAACCGTAATGGTTCCTTTTGAGTAAACAGTCATGCTGTAAAGTTGCAACAAGTGGATGAAGTGTTGATGACCCACTGGGTCGTACTGAAAGGGTGACAACAGTGGTGGTAGACGGACAAGGGCCTCAATTTGTCCATCCATCCATCTATTTTCATCCGCTTATCCGTTACCGGTTCGCGGGGGCAACAGTCTCCATGACCGCCACCCACCTCACACTGCATCACATACCCACCCCCCTAAACCTTCCTGCAGGTGGTGAGTCCACTGGAAGGTACCAACCGCCCTAACCGGGATCCGAACTTGCCCAGGAGGTGAACCCTGGGGTTTTACACCAATGACAGAGACATTGCCTCTGGGCCAAAGCACCATGCCTCAATTTGTAGGTAACACCAATGGCAGCAGAAGCAAAACAGAATACTAAACATTCTTCGATGCAGTATCTCACTTGTCACTCCTGTTTCTCCTCTGGTGAAGTGGAAACCCTGTGTTGACATACACAAATGGAAGCAGCATTTTTTTCTGGCCTACTTCAGTCGTTACATCTGTTAGAAACAGAGTCACTGTAGGTCATCAGATATACTGATATCATCTCTTGTGTGACTTTGCAGCTTTGCAGTATACAGCACATTTGTTGTTAGTTTGTGGTGCGGTATTGAATTAAAAACCTGTGTGAAATACCAATAAATGTAGTCAATTCATCTACCCAGTGTGAGTGCCTTTGGCATCTGTTAATCCACTCAATTACCACTTGGACACTTGGACTCTCTTTTTCCGGAATCTCTTCCTGGTGCAGCAGAGTTCAGTTTCAGTGGAGGAACAGCTCCCCACCGTTAACGGAGGACTTCATTTATTTGTTCTCTCTAAGCTGTTCATCATCATGCCTTGACAGTACTGTATTTATTAAGTACAGTCCAGCGGGAGTGTTTCTGATTTACATGGCGCATTGATGCTGTCGGTGTCTCCTGCTCACTGTATCCTCTGCTGCTCTGGAGAATAGCTGGTGCTTAAATCGAGTAACAGAGACAAGAACAAGGGTTGTTCCTCTTTGCATCATCTCTTTGATTGCTTTGTTTTGTCTCATGAAGAAGAGAGTGTCGTAATAAAACGATACTAAGCAGTGGTGTTTGTAACAGTATTTTCTGGATTCTGGTTCTTAAACTCTGAGGCTCTGTCCGTCAGATGATTGACTCTTGTTATGTTGTCACTCTTAATTTCTGTCTTCAGACTGATGCTGAGGCTCACAGGGTTATTATGTGGATCTGCCAGAAGCTTGTGTTGGTGCCTTTTTGTTTACTCTCCTCAACACAATAGAAAATTACAATGAAACCACTGGCTTTGGCTTCAGAGCAGTTAATTGCAAACAATTATCACGATGACATTTAAATTTACTAATTGTCTTTTTTTGTACGGTCAATCACTAATCCTTTTTTCCCCCTTTGTTCCGGACTTGGTGTGTGTGTGTGTGTGTGTCTGTGGGTGTGTGTGCAGATGCAGTTTCAAATGTTGCTTCATATTTTAAATCTATAAAGCACGCTGTTTCAAAATGCCACCAGTTACTACTTGTAGCACCATGAAGTGAGCAGTGCCTTGACTTTAAATCATGCAGAATGTTTTGAATTCTTGGATCACAGGTTCATTTTAAACCCAATTAACCTTAAACAGTGAGAGCTAAGTGTGTGGCTAATGTAACATGTCAGTGAATGGACTTATCTGTTGTTGGCTCTCAGGCTTCAGTTTGCCAGGTGATGCTGAAGGATAGTTTTTCATGTATGCATTATTTTTATTGGATATATTATATATAGTTTTGTGTAGAGAATATTGTAGACTACACTGTACTCCATGGTTTTGGATTGATGTTAAATAAAAATACCATGAAAATATATTAAAAAGATAAAAATGTGTGCTACATTAGAAATTCTTTGTAAATTAACTGTGGAAAATCATGTGATTAATTACTTAAAGTGATACATTAAATAAATATTGTCTAATAATTATTAGACAAATAAATAATTAAAATAAATACACTGTCAGAATTGCTGTTTCCTGACTGGTGGTTATCATATTTTTGTCTTTTCACTCTATACATTAGAATCTCAAAGATTTTTGCTGATAAAAAGAACACAAAAGCCAAAGATGTTTGACTGATGATTTGACTGTATTGTGTTGGCATCTGCTCAGGATTAAATAAACCACACAGCATTATTCTACTCCATGTAAAGTTTAGGCACAGGACTCATTAAAATGTGACAGAGATGCCTTCTGCTTCACCTGCAACTTCTCAGCCGTTATGAGATCGACAAGACAAAAGATGTTGTACAGATATGTGACATTCACTACTTGTCTTATCTAAATTAAGGACATGAGTGTGTAAAGCGTTACATTACACAGGTGGCATGTGTAATGTGAGGAAGAAAAATGAGTGTTTATGACCCAGTTTTTGTTTTTGTTTTTGATGGATTATGAAATAAGGGAAGAACAAGTCCATCGCCACCAGACCTGGTTTGTCTTTACTGTATTTGAACAAAAACTACACATGATGCTGTAATTTAATATTTTTAAAAGATTGACATAATCAGAATCACAAACATCAAAGTAACAGCATAGAACAGTTACTTATTATTATTATATAGTTTCTTGATGACAGGCCGCTGTTTTCAGTCAGCTGCTCGTCCCTGCTAAAGCAGTTTAATATTTTGCCTTCCGAACGCCCTACCTTTCATTTCCTCTTTGCTTCAATTTTGACTTTATGCAAAAAAAAAGATGTATCTGATGTCTGTCAACCCTATAAAACAATATCAGGCTTCAACCCTTCTTCACAATGACGCTGCTCCTGCTACAAAGAGAAGGAATGAGATTTTTCTCAGCTCAGAAAGACACAGGTCAGCAGGTCAAAATGGAATTTATATAAGGCTGCAGAGGCCTGCGTATGTCGGATCATGTCGCTCTCCCCCTTGTGCCAGTAACCTGGTGGTGTTTGGGTAACTAGTTGTATCTTTTCTTGTCCCTGACTGGATTTGGAATGAGTGTGCTTCTGTGCAGCAGCTTGAGTGACACAGTGGCAACCTCCTCAACGACAGCCAATAGATATGATAATGTATACTGGCTTTATTGTTCAGTGACAGAAGGCCAGCAAAACACACACACACACACTCACACACACACTCACACACACACACACACACACACAGCATGTGTCCACGGTCCCCCTTTTTTCTGCAGGCCTCTGGATCTACTCTGTATTCCAACGTGTGAATGCTTTAATAACAGTATCTTACTTCAGATGCTGGCAGAAAAGGCTCCAGGTTTGAAATGTATTTTAAGAAAATCTATTTTTGTATTTTTATTCTCTTGATGGAAAAAATGTTTTTAGAGTTAATTGCACGAAGGTTTTTTCCACTAAAAAAAATTCTGATGCCTCAGGGCAACTTGCTGATTTTACAGCTGTTCCTCAAACAATCACACAACAAATTCATGTAAAAGCTTCACCTAAGAACCAACACTGTTTTGATGCCGTCCCTAAAATGATTATCTCAGAAGGAGAACTCTTTACTTAGCTGGGTTTTCAGGTTCTTAATTTTAACACAATAATTAAGGACTTGCATGGAGTGGGAGCCGTTGGCCCTGCTGCCCTGGAGTCCAAGGATCGGTCTAATTAACCAGTATGAGAACAGCTGATTGGGCACTTAGTAACATATTCACAGTTGATTGGTCCTCAGGTCAGACTAGAAGGAACATTTGGAAACTGGAATGTTTTTGTCTCTAATATACTGAGTGATGCTTTTCTTTGACTTTCTAAGTCCTACCTGTGTATTAAATAATAATAAGAAAACTTTATCTTCACAATGATGTCTTTACCTCATTTAGTTTTAAGGAAAACTATCAAAGTTGATTTTTTTTGGTTAATTTTTGGTGTACAAAATTCATTTTCATTTCCTTTGCTGTAAACTAGCTAGATCAGCGTTTCTAAGGAGCTGATAAACTTAATTATAGTGCGGTGTTATTTGACATGAATACAACTGTCAGTCCTTACAAGTTGAGAATTGTACACCTCAGCATAAAAGGACAGATTGAGTTCATGTCCTGATTTAAATAAAGGGAACAGTGTCGGATCTTTCTTCTCTCTCTACATGAAACATCAGATTTGAAAACAGTTTGAAATTAGAATTTGAAAGTATCTTTTCTTAATACTTTTAAAAGGGTGTGTAAAAATGTACTCCAGTAGTTTTTAGTATTTAAAATTGTTTAAAAGATTTACATTTTTTTAATCTGGTTAAACCTGAATCAGCTCAGATGAACAGATGGACTTCAGACGCCTCGCATGCCTTAGAGGTTTGGGCCCAGGATCATTTTATGTCCGTGGGTCTCACAGCAGTGTCTAACCACTGTCCCTGTCTCGTCCTTGTTTGCAGTGTATTCTGGGATCTGTATTGTGCTGCGCCAGACCGGAGGGAGACGTGTGAACATTCCAGCGAGGCCAAGGCTTTCCATGACTATGTGAGTGAAATTAGCCAGCTTACTGTTTGTGTACAAAGGACACACACACACACACACACAGTCTCACTCCTATTGCTTCCATGTTTAATGTCTAAAAGAAAGGAGACATATTTTGCAATGCCATTGGTCGTGTTGGTTTAATCAGTTTCCTATTGTGTCTAATGTAGCGTGTGTGGTCAAGATAGCTTCTGGAAATGAATCACCTTGAACCAAAAAGCATGGTTTTTGTGAAGTACCTTAACTCTTGGTCTCACTGAAGCCTTCGATTGGTTCTACCTCATTTCAAATAATCCGGGTTGATCCGTTGTCCGGTGGTTAATCACAGCTACTGATCACAGTTTCCCAAAATGTTGAAGTTTCACCATCTCAGGCTTTAGTGAAGGAGTCAGTCAGAGGTGGAAGGTTGTGACACTGCTTTCACATTGACTGAGGGGTCAAATCACATAAAGCAGAGCTGGCTGATCACATCAGCATTAACACACACACATCTGCACACACACCGACTCGTACCAGGATTCATACAGACACTGGAAGAAAAGGGCAGTTTGTGAACATCATGCTATGGTATTCTGATTGAATTCGTCTTAGAGCTGCACTAATATTATTACATCATTAGATGGATTTGCTAAATACCATGTTCGTGTAGAAATACTGCCTCCCTCTGAAAAATCTAACCTTTTTCAGACTTTCTGCTGTGCGTTCTCAGACATTGTCTTCTTCTTTAAGGTGATACATGATAACTTGAATGTGGGTTGTCATGAATGTTGATGTCTTAAATGACACAGGCTCCCACTTGGGTCACTTTAAAATAAAACATTGGGACTGTAAGCTGTCGAGTTAGACTTCAAGTTCAAAATGATCAACCTGGTAAACTACAATCCTCACCAGTCCAAGGACAATGAGATCAGAGTCAGTCTTTTGGTTTTAAACCTGGAATGGAATTCTTACTGCACCTTTTATTTAAAAGATTGATTTCCTTTTCTTTCTGCTCTAACTACAAAAACTAAATTTCACAAAGGAAGCTGTAGCCGCATTATTATTCCCAGAGTCTGTGTTGTTGTTGTCTGTGTAGATGGTCAGGTACTGTGTCCAGGCCGTAGCTCTGGACTTTGTCAGTCAGTTCTGTGTCCTCTCATCCTGTGAGTTTTTGTCTTCTTAAGGATGGACGTCCAGTTTCAGAACATTTGAGGTATTGGAGTTGCTGTAACCAGAGTACACATCCTTAAACACCTCTGATTCTCTGTCTTTTATTGAACCCTGCAGCTGTGCAGGGAGTGGATCTCCCATTGTGGGCTGTGATTGGCTCCAGCTTCTCTTCGACCTTCTGAATTGTAGCACAGAAGATGGATGAATGCTGGTTTTGGTTTGCCATGCTGTTTGAGTGGTATTTGAAGTAGAGGCTAACTTGGATTACTGTTCCACCCCGTGCTGGAGTGAGAGCTAGAATGAATTAGAGTTGCTATTCTTACCATTCACATTTCTTTCCGCCTCCTTTAGCCTGTAGCCACTCGCCCATTCAGCCGAACCCTCTTATGAGGTTTGATGGCAAAAGTGAGAGCTCTTGTCAACTGAAACAGATTACATTTGTTGTGCATGTACTGTGTAACGTGTGTGTGTGTGTGGGCTCGTAGTGATGTGTGTCTTTGTTGGACGATCGTAAGATTAATTACATGGTTAATTAAACCTCATAGTTAATTAAATCTGACAACTGTGTCTAATTAATCTAAATGCCATAATTTCCTACACCTTTCTCCAGAGGTAGGCCAGCTGAATATGGCATGTCAGCTCTTCTACAGTTCCACTTTGACAGCTCAGGTCAATGGAAGACTGACGTTACAAGCTTCACGTTGTGCCTGTAAAGATGTGCTCATAGAGAAGTTCATATGTTGCAGTCTGTGGTTATGTTAATCAATCAGCCTCACTCGTTCTGTTTGGTGTTTGACTGGAGACTTAATGAAACATAAATGTGAATTAGGGGGCAGTGTGTGTCAGCAAGGAAAAGGCAGTTAGGTCCTTTTGCTCTAGTGCTTACAGAGTACACATAACTTTTATTCTGGTTCAATGATTCGGACGCTGTTTAACATTTGATCCGGCTAAAGTTCAAGAGGTCAGAGTGTGCAAGCTGTCAGAGACGGCTGATTTATGGACAATGCACCAAAAGCTAATGTTGTAATCCATAGAAAAACACACGCGCCGGAAACACTTGGAAATTCAAATTGGAATCAAGAAATCCCCTTTTATGTGTTCATCTGCAGAAAGGCTTTCTTCTGTCTGTGGTTTTAACCTTTTTTCTTTTGCAAATGGAAACTTATTGAGAATATTAAAGACTGTTCTTGTGTGTTAGCAGTACATGGGCTCCTCGACTTACATCTCAGTTCCATTCCTACCGTGCCAAAGAAAAAAAAAATTGGGAGACGGTGATGTACCAACGAAACGCTGTAGTTCAAGGACAAGGAAGCCTCAGTTTTTTGAGGGTTGGATCTCATAGTGGACCAGCAGAGGTTGTACTTATTGGGACAAACTGTTTGGTCAGACATGACTTTTCTATTCAGTGCAAACTTCAGAAAGATGTTTTCAAGGTTAGTAGGTTCGACCATGTTCAATTTATTAAAAAAAAAAATCCCACATTTATTTAAATTAATAATTTGATTCAGACAGTACTGGCAGAGAGAGAGAGAGAGAGACTGCTTATAAATAAGAAGCACAATTGGATAAATTTAGTTAACGTAGAAAGAACTGCAATAACAGTGAATACTCCTAACCTAAGACTCTGGGTCACTGGATCTTCCTTATTTGCTAGACTAAATAGAAACATTCGTAGATGAATTAAATATAATCCTTCTCTGGTGGATTTTGTTCTGTTGCTGATCATAAATGCTGGGACCTGCAGAGAGGATGTAGTGTTGGCTGAGACAAAGTAAAAGGAGTAAGTGTAAAAGTGTTACTGTGTGAACGTTTGTGTCAGGGTCAAAGCCAGCGAATCCCCAGAGTGATGAGGGGTCTGTCTGTCTCTGATTAACTCTGGCTGCCTGGTCCCTGCAGACCCACGGCCTGATCAAGTCTCTATCCCGGCCCCTTGCTGATAACGGCTCCCTTATTCCCTCGAGCCGCCCGGGATCACAGAGTGAAAAACAACACGGCTCCCAGGAGCTGCACACGCTCCGTTGTGTGTATCTCCCAGCACGAACACCGAGAGGAATCTGAGGAAGATAAAGCAGGACTGTTTTATTTATGAATTTTTACATAATTCATGGCTTCTCTGGTAGCCACGCTGTCAGTTTGTCAGTGATAACAGTGACAAAATATCATCCCTGGGCTCTAAAATTGATTTCTGGAAATACGTGTTTTCTTATTTGTTTTCCGGAGCTAATTGAGTTGCGTGGCAACATAGATCCATAAAGTCAGTTCAGATCAGCAGTGTTCTGTGTGAAGTAACATCATACTTAGCCATGTCCCATTGGCTCTACTCTGTCTCCACTTTGGAAAGAAATAATGGAATATCATGTGCTAATCCTCAGATCATGGGACGGGTTGACAGCTAATCCAGGAGAACGTGGTCAGATTAAAGCCCTGGTCACACTCCCAGAACTAAAGGCTTCTGACTGACTGGATCACTGCTTGGCTTCACTCCTGGATGGTGAATCAGCCACCACAGCCCTGCACTCAGACTCAAACATGCAGGCTGATCTGTGTGCTGATCGTAGATCAAAGTTCTCGCTCACATGGTGAGAAATTATCAGAAAGAAATTATCAATGTGTGGTTTTGGTTGTTTCAAACTGTGGCATCTTAGCGATTTAGCAGATTACACCGTAGACATCCAGCTATATTTTCAGTTCCAGTATCTTTTTGATGGAGACATTTGCTAGGTTAGAAAGCTTAGTTTAATACTTTTTTTGCCTCTGTCAACATTTTGGCAGGCTAAAGTGATCTACCAACACTGAACGTTAAATATATGTTTACTCACGTAGATTAGATATATATATACATTGATTAAATGCATCTGGCTTTATGGCACAATATGATGTAAATACACACTATAGAATTTATATTTATTGGTATTATTTTAATTGCTCATGATCTAGTTATTGGGCAATCCTGCACTATGTGATACCAGCAGTATCAGGTTGTCGACCTGAGTCATGGCATTACAACTGTGGTCCTTCTACCAACTAACTGCAAAGGAAAGAGGACAGTCAAGGGTTAGGGTTAAACAGGGCGAACACTACCTTTTTTTCTTACCTGTTGGACTTATTTTATTGTTTTTGTCTCTATGCAATAATCAAATTTATTTCCCAGAGGACTGTCCAAACCCTTTCTCTTGTCACTATTCTTGCGAAAGCAAAAGACGAAGAAGTACCACACTGTAAATTAATCTAGCTTTGTGCCACACACAGTGGCCCGTTGGCTGACAGGCAGAGACAGAGGAGTTAGAGTGATAGTCATGCAGCTGTATTGTCTCAGTCGTTCTGCTCGGCTCCGTCTTAGCCACAGGTCTAACCCTGAACATCTGTGCCTCGTGTCAATCTGGGTCGACTGCCTGAGGAGACACACAGATTTAGTGCCGCGACTGCGTCATTCACCTCACGGTGCTTCATTGACTCCGCTCTGCTCTCATCCTGCTGGTGGAAACTGTCATGACGATGCGTGAGATGGAAGAGTCAAATACGGACATTTGTCATTTCATGTAGAATGTCACACCTCCCCCTAAAAACGTCACACTAAAAATGTATTTGGGCTAAATTGACATGTCAGTGAGAGTTAAGTGGACACTGTGTGAAGCAGCACTACGTCCTTAAATACATAGTGATTGAACATGGCAGCCACTGAGAAGAAGCCACGTACTGATGCAAAATTGAAAAAGATTAAACAAAAACGAATTGTATGTAACCTTAATTGTGGTTAAATATATATCTAAAAATGACCTTTTGTAAATTAATCCAGTGTATTAAAACAATTTGAAATTAACTGATTAATTAGATATTCCTTTATTTTCTAATCA